AAAAGAACAAAAAACATTAGTTTGCGCAGTTTGAATCTTATACTGAAATATCTTTGCCAGAACAACTATTTGAGTAAATACAGACAGTGAAATCAGTAACTCACAGATTAGTACATGTTAATGGGTAACACGACGTTAACGTATGCGGTTTTTATCGCGAAGCAAGTCTAAGTAAATAAACAATAATACTAATACTAAAAATTAAGCAAAGTTATGTTTGAATAGAAAAATGTAAAAAGAAAACTATTGATAAAATCCGTTGTGTTTTGAACTCATATTGTTTTGAACAGCTTTCTGTTATCAAAGGAACTTTACAATAAGAAGAATCCAAACGGAAAATAACTTTTTTCAGTATTGGTAAACTGTGAGATAATTAATTATGTTTTCATTTAAGGAAACTCATACTTCGGAAGTCTCTTTCTAACAATTTTCTACCTAATTAAAGTTTTGTTACTATACAAATGCATACATACTTGCTCACATTTAGCCGTAATCATTAAAGATTTAGTTTGATTTAATTTTACAGCTTTGATGTAACGAAAGCTAGGTGGCTTTCTGAAAACATTCATTTTATTGTTTAAATGTTTTTCCCTATAAAGATCGAATAAATCATGGCTTGGCCGACAACCTGATCCACAAAATGAGGTTAGGATATTTAGTGTTCAGATATACTATGACGCTTGAGCAACGAATAATATAAAATTTAAAACGTTTGTACTTTTTTAAAACAGAACATCTCAATTGATTTTATTTTTGTTACTCTGATAATGAGATTAAAAAGGACCGTTAAAAATGTATATTGATTAATAAATCCATTTAAAAGCAACTAACTTTTAAATGTTTGTCTTTAATTAACTAAACTGTACAATATTTAAAAGGAATTAATTTGAAAAATTCAGACAAAAAAGTAGATTTGGATACAGAATTACCTAAGAATAATACATCCAAATAGATACTTCACCATTCAGTTCTCAAAAAGGTTTTCACATTTTTAGTTTTATAAACGGTATATTTACCGACATGAATGTCACTATAAGCATGCCTATATTCCAATTCTACTTATCCTTCGGACTTATTAACCAGTTACAAATCATATGAGATAAAAATTCAAGAAAGTGTGTTTTATTTTCATTTATTAACATTTTCTATAAAGCAAATAAAATAACATAAACTTGGTTTTTAAAAGTATTGAAATCACTAAAACTTGAATGGTAATAATGTTTTAGATTAGCAAACAGTATTAGTTTCTCAAGAGACTTTTAATATGGCAGAAAGTACAGTTTTGCCAAACACTTCACCAAAAATGAATTTACAAATCTTTGGGTGATTTTTATCACTGAGGTCAAAGGATATTAATTACCAGCTATTATAAATTCACTAGTTTTTTAAACACAATCTTTATACATGTGCTGACAGATAAGAATGGCAGTATTCCGATAACGGATTTCTAAGTGTTATTTAATATTTTCTAAAATATTTACAATACTGTACTAAATATATCTTGTAATGAGCTCTGACAAAATAAATACTGATAAGTAGCTGATTAAATCTTAGTTCTTAACATCATTAGTGTATATCTACGTCAAGTGTAGGTTTATAAATTAAAAGCATTTACTTTTACTGTCCCTCGAAAGCGATCTAAATAAACCACCTCCACATATGACAGACGGTTAGTCGTTTCTGAATGAGTAGGGAATTTACAATTAGTGAAATTATTCGACTAATGTCTGATTTTTCAAAATCGAGTGTCAATAACTCAAGTGTTAGGTGTCCGATTTAGTGATTATTATCCTTGTTTTGTTTGTGAACCTATAAATGTCAAGATTGAAAAGAAAGTTAGTTTAATAACAACACTCAAGTGGTTGGATTAACACCGAACAACTTGTGTCTTGTTTCTAGTGCATAACAAAGTATCCAACCTTAATTATGAATCCATCAGCCATGAAATTTATAATACTTTAAAAATAATCACCAAGAGTGACAGACAATGAAGAACCAGTAATTAATTTTAAATGTTAAACTTACAAAATCCAGTCAAAATAATTATAATATCATTCAAATTATTTCTGTCTTTTACATCCTTAACATGCAACTGGTTAATGCAGAATCTCTCAAACTAATGTCAGAAAACATGAAGTATACAAATTTAAGTTTCATAGAAACAACAAACGTATTTCAGGTAGAGATGGATATGAAATCTGATATACTCTTGGAAATGCATACAATCAACAAGCAGACGATAACAGATATAAGTTATAATGATAATAGTGAGACATTTGATTACGGAAACAAAGTGTTCAAAATTTTTTTTCTTTTTGTACGTTTACTGAAAGTATATTGTCTTCTTTCATTTCGATTAAATCATGCCATCTCATGATAATTTGACAAACTTCTCAGAGCTAATATGTTTACTAGTCCGCTCTTGACAATCGCTTTCACCTTTGTTTCCGATTCCTTTGGTTGAATTAATCATAACCACTCTCTTGCTTTTACTTATTTCTTTCAGTGACAGAAGAGAATCAAATCAATCCATTTAACAGTAATTGCATGTGAGATATTATTTCCCAACATAGCATAATTAATATATATATATATATATATATATATATATATATATATATATATATATATTCGAGCACTGTTTATCTGTGTAACATTGGTTCAGTGTACAATTAAACTTGTCCATATATAAACAAAATAACAACTGAAAATTATAAATCAGCTATAAAACCTTATTAAGAATTATATGCAGTTTATCTTATACAAACTATGAGTTAAATACTAGACTATTATCAGACAATAAATTATCCTCGTCTCATGTTAGAAATATTCAGATTTCCTTGATTTCATGCTAACATTTTCTTTTTATTTACTTACTACATCATAGAAAATAAATATTACTTTAATTATCGTAAAATTATCTACTTTACCCAAAGCTAAAAATATACAATTACTACATAACAAGAGAAATTTTCAGCAGAAAAATACGGTAAATAGAAAGAAATCTAAGCGCTTATTAATAATATAACAAGATTACATCTTATCAGTGTAGTTTCTTTATGCAGACTTTTGTTCGTGGTATAAAACTTAGACGACACTTTCTTCGCTGTATGTTTTACGAGACACAATGATAATACATAATATAACTTCATTCCTCATAAATATCTTTCTTTTCTACACGGGGAGGGATCACCTATCACTTAATACGACGAGAGAATGATCCAAACCATTACCAAATGAATGATACACTTACTTACTATTTTACGGTACATTTTCAAATGTGACGATCACATAATATATTTTGGTAGCAAACTGGTTGTTTCAATACTCCTGCTTTCACCCTGCACTTTATAGGTAATAACACTCAGATTAGCCCACAAACTAATCAGAACTGTTTTCATTAAACTTTACATCTTAGTATTTTACTGGCAGGTTATGTAAGCAAACTCTGAAGTCTATCTTCCGTGACTTACTACAAAAATCCACTATTCGTGATGATACGGGTATTACTTTCATAACATCGCAATTGACGAAAATAAACTTTACTTTTCAAATGATGCCTGTGAATCAAGCAATATCGAGGCAATACACACAGTATGTACATATGTCAATAAGAGACTGATCAACTGCAGTCCTAAACATCAATGGAAAGATTCAAGTAAACAAACCAAGTGAATTTAAATGTTAAACATGTTTGACGCAGTTTAGTTAACTCAAGACCACATCGATTTTTTAAAATTTGGATGAAATTATTTTAATAATTCATTTTATAGCTTATCCAAATTATCACACCTTTTTGTGATGAGGCTATCATACAGCTACACTACCTAATGAACACTTAAAAATAAATTGTAAACAAATGATTGCAAACGATTAAATAACATGGATTAATTGGACATCATGAAAATGACAGGGTTATTCAAATCTACTAAATGGACCAAATGTCTGACATTTTCGATACTACGATCTAATGTTTATTCGTCATAATTGATTGATCACTGGGTGGTGATCAATGTCATGTGTGTCAAGTCCCTACTTAGTGCAGATCAAATGCTATCGACCATGTTGCAATGTGGCCATCAGTCTAGGTAACTCGACACTGCGTGCACTATATACTGAGATCAGATTGTGGTTGGAGGTAGTCGACAAAACCCCTGGACCCGGGTTTCGTGCTACTTGGCGCTCGTCAGCAAGCTGTACCTAGCTCGTGTAACGTCTCTGACTTAAGCTGGGTGACATGGATCGAATCCGCAGGTAACCAGAAAAAATATTTTTCTACCTCTTTTACTCATTTACTGCGTACGTTTCATTCTAAGATTGAAATAAAACGCATTACATGAAAATATCTGCTCTTTGTTAGTGGATTTACCTGTCTAACTACTGACTTAGAGTTTAAAGCTGCATTCATTCATAATGTATTTCCTCGAATATAAATCCAACTTCAATTAAAATCAATGAATTCGTAGTTTTCAACAGAACACTGTTACCTTTCTGGATATAAACTGCCTTAGTTGAAATAATAACAATACTTTTCTCCACGAAATTCTCTTTAATAGCAATGAACTAGGGAATTAAGAATTCAGCGTAAAGACCTCAGCCGGTATGGGTTCTGTGAGTTCAAGGGAATCTTTATTTTATCCGTTTAAATACCACTTGTTATCCTGCTTTAATGAGATGTTTAAAAGAATCATTAGCTTTATCTCAAACAAGTTATATCTTATACATAGACATTTTTCTGATGTCAAATTAAAAACGGTGTAAAATTTTCTATTTAAGATCTTAGATGACCAAGCATTTGACATGTAAAGACAGTACAATATACATCAAAAGTTTTAAATTCGTATTTAAAACCGTTAAACGTAATATATCTAAGAAACAGCAAAATCAATTGTTTCTCATAAATATTAGAAAATTTGTTGTTTTTAGATTTGATGTATAAAATCTCTTAATTGATAATCTTTCTAGGTGAGATATTATCAAAACATACTAGATTAACTTACTTGCGTTGAGACTGATAAGATACACTATCACTGTCGTTTGTCAAATCCTTTTTAATACGATATTTATTTTTACTGAGCAAACGACGAATGGGAACGGTGGAGTGTTTATTTTGAGTTCTTTCTTGATGGACTTCATCTCGTTGGTCACCTTCACTATCATCATAATCAGATGAGTCATTTTTAAATGTTCTGTTCATTGTAACAGTAAAAAGCTCATTTTTCAATGAATTAATTGTTGACGAAGATGACGATGATGTCGGTGATGAGGATAAAGTTACGGATGGTGAAGATGTTAGTGATGATGGCGACGTTGACAAGGAGAATGATGATGTAACTTCACTGAATTTATACAGCTGATTTTCATACTTCTGCCACATTTTATGAATATTCTTGTCATAACATAATTTTATTCTGTTGTGATTAGTAGAAATGCTTGGCATGTATACATTCTTACGAATGTTATTTTTGGTTGTGAATAAATGCTCATTAATAATTGTGTAAGGACCAACCTTATATTTTGATTGATTATTATCATTTTTAAGGATATCAATATAGCACGAAGAATTGTTTTGAACAGTTTGTGAAGAAACATTGATTTTCTGTGGTTTTTGTTGTTGGTGATTATAATTAATAATGTTATCTAATGGATATTGTGGAGTTGAAACAACTATGCCAGGCTCTGAAAGACTATAAGTATCTGGACTTGTATTACTAATACCTGCAAGAAAAGAAGGCAAAACAGTTCATTTTTATTTTACCCTCAGTCACCAATAATTTAATACTTTCATAATATGACGAAAATGATATACAAATAGTGGGAGTTTATTTTTTTAAAAACAATTATTTATAATCAATAAGTCCTAACAAGTTCACCTATGTCATTTTTGTGAATCAAATTTATCTGCATTGGAGAAGTCCAATGTAGTCTGCACTAACTGCACTTGTTAGTAACTCAATATGGGAAAAAATTTATGATTTCTGGCATCAGTAACATACCACTGTCGTCATTATGATCACTGCCAGTACACAGTGTATCTTGCTACACGCATTTTGATTAACATTTCTTGTTACCCTGAAAGTAGCAACGTAACCTTTTGACTCTCATGAAATAAATATCGAAATTTTGGATGATCTGTAAGCTCAGTGAATATAACTATTCCATTCATTTTTTCTTTACTTTTATGAATCGACTTGTGTATATAAGGTAGTGGAGTAACTTGCAAAGTATTAAAAGTGATAATGACCACCTTGAAAACTCTCACTAAATAGTTCATTAACTTTACCTAAAGTTAGATTTTCAAGGATAGTACTTCTATATTCCTCAATAGTAGAATAGTCTCTTCTTGTTGGATATTACAAATTTCTTGAAAAACTAAGTTATTTCGATGTATTTAAAGTATATTCTAACAAGGTAAAATTTGCGTGTCTGTAACACTGCGACAGTCTGATTCCAAGTATCCAATTTTGAAAGTCATTTACCATAAAATATTTCCCCATATTCTAGATCCAGTGTTTTATTTATTATTAAGCTGATCAAAGCAAATATTACTCTTGGTAAAAAAAACCATACGACATCATCGGTAATTAAACTTATATGACAGGTAAACTTCACAATTGTAGGGTCATGTTTAAAGATACATGGGTACCATACAATCGAGAACATCAGTGTAACTAGAAAAACTGTGAAGGAAATCATAAGAAAAGGATAAGTAACCAAAGTATATATATATATATATATATATATATATATATATATATATATATATATATATATATATATATCGACTTCTTTTTTGAAATGCAAGGAGGGAAAGAATATTTCCTGTTAATACGAATAAATTCCAATCCAGTCACTTGGTATTACATCATAGCTGTCAGACACGCTCATAATAACATATTTAAGTCTCAGTTGTATTCATTGTTATAATTACGAATCATGGTTGTGGTGATTTCCACACTAAACTTAAGTGTCATTCACACTGTAAGCTTAAAAATAACCAAGAAAATTACTTTTCGATGAATTGTATAATCCAAAATCCACTTGACTTTAATGATATTGTAAAAAAAATTTTCATCGAAAATACTTGAAACCAGCACATTCACTGGAAAAGTATGTTGAGCTCGAACCAAACTTGTATTATATTCAATGATGGTAGCAAGTAATATATAAATCCAGTTATATTCAAAGTGTAATACGTTTTAAAAAGAAAATATAAATATTATATCCTATACATTCAGAATTCATAGACTAGTCAGTGAATTTTGGTTTACTCATAACTGACCAGATGTTATCAAGAAAAATATATTCTTAATGCAAATTCAGATTATGCTCTCATTTTTAGATAATTGCTTTTTGAACTGAAATGGAGAGAACGTTTTAATGACTAATTATTTTGTATCATTTTTAATGGACGCTTTTTAATTGTTAAAATTATATCAGAAAGAATCGGAAAACAGCTTTTCTTTGCAACTATTCGTCATTCGACAACAAGACTTTACTGTAGAGAAGACCTATTTGTTTGGAATAGGCATCTACCAAAGTGTTCGGCCTTTTTTAATACTAAACAAGGATAATAAAATAAACAGCAAGTGTAACAGATGAATAATGAATAATAAATTGGTCGGTAGGTGAAGAAAGTTAATGCGCACTGATTTGGGTTAGAATTATCGATTCTGAGTCAAATTACTTTGGATTTCTGATCATTGATGCTCTGTAAACAAATGTGAATATATACCTAAAACTCGCTAATGTTATAAGCCTATTTTGGTGACATTTGAGAATAATCGCAAACTTAATTTAACGAAATCAACAAAAAGCAACAACGAATTTGATTTCACAGTGTGTGAACGTATTATAAATCATATAACATATGTACGTAAAGGAAAATATCAAATTCAAATAAAATATTGTACTATATTCGATATATAATTTGACTCCATGTCAAAGAATTTCAGCACATTTGTTTGTTTCTTTGACCCAAAAACGTTTTTGAATCCATTTACTTTCGATGTACAAGTAACGACATCCATCACTAGGTTTTCCTTTAAAAAACACTAGAACTGCCAAGAAGATAAGTTATAATAATGTAGAATTATGTACTGGCCCAAATGACTTATGGTAGATTTGGATTAATTATAGTTTCTGTTGTTACTTATCGCCACCGCTTAGTTTACTTTGTCATAGATATAAATTTCATTCGGTTTACTGTATAAAATATGAGCCGTTTGCATTTGAGTAGTGAATCTAATATTTTTATCTAAAAGGAGTTACCAGATTACTGCTATACCAGATGGTATATTCCATCAGTTTGTGTGGCTTACAGGTAACCGCTATGTTAAGACCTGGTTTTTGCTTCATTATTACTTTTAAAGTTCGAATGCTTAACAAAATTGGAAACTTTTCTATCCTATATTATTCAAACATTCGATTGATCAACAATCCTTTCAAATATAAGTTTGTGGATTATTTGAAATAAGCAGAATCACCATAATTATGTCAACTTCTCGAATTATTCTTCGTGAATACAATTAATTAGCTCTCTTGAATTAAATTGGTACCTTAGGAATAATAGTCTAGTCTACACAATGTGATTCAATGAAGTGGATCTGATTAATAAACTTTGACTGTCTTGAGCAAAACTGTCCATTTACAAGCAATATAACTGAAATCTCTATTCCATTAGAAACATCATTACAGATCTATACTACACTAGTACTGATTCTAACATCAATAAGTCGAATTTCATCTAGCGAACCGTTTTAAATAAATGTCATCGTTTTGAAAGAGATTTTTTACCACCTAAAGGTTGTATTGACGGCAAATACGTTATAATCACAGATGGATTTTTACTGTTAACAGGAAATTCTATCATGTAGTGTCTTATGTGGAACCTTATTAAGTTGATCTAATCTAAATTCCATTTAGATCATGATATGACATAGTGGTAAAATTCATAATACAATACTTTTATTACATGATCCTGAATCTGTGTACCTTCTTTTAACTTCAGATGAACTTTAGGAAATAAATCAATATATTAAATAAAAAAGGTAATCATTTTTAGTTATCTATTTGTACACAATTAAAATGTAATCTGATAATAAAACACGTAGCAGATAGAAGGAAAATATAAGTGTAATAAACTCATGCTTTGTTTACTTATCCTAAATAAACAACAGTGATTAGAAATATTATTCGACTGAGTTACAGATTAATCTGATTCTAACACTCACATCTTTTTTCATTTTTGTTTAAGTGTTATGCTCATGATATTTCACAGTTTAATGTGTCTTCTGAAGTTAATATATACTGTAGTCACAATATGATTGCATTTCAGAGATAAATGATTTACACTGATCTTTAGACAACATTATATCGAAGTCGTATATGTTTATTTAAGTATACACTTTTACTGCTTACGGAGCAAAGTTATTTAGTGACTCATTCATATGACTGGTAACAAGATTAGTGTCCTAATTGGCCGTTCGACAATTTTATCTTTGGAACGAGAACAATTTTTGCTTTTTGTATGCATTGGCAATTTACTTTTTTATATGTTCTCCTTAACCAACAAGTAAATAAACGGTCGTTTTACAAAGAAACGATAAAACTGATATGGTACGTATATATTTTTTAATTAAAAAACTGAGATTAAATTTTCAGACTATATTTATTTAGTATACAACAGACATTCTAATTTAGAGGAAATCCCACTTTACTTTTCTGGTATATACTTGAATAATGATCGTTTTGTTCTGTTATTAATGTTGCAGTTGTGAGACTTACTTGTTTGATCAGCTGTTAGCTGAAAATTTTCAACTTAAGTATCAAATGTATAAGGTATGGGTCAACCCTGTGGATGATTATTTCTTATTCATCCAATGCTACAGAATTCTTTACAGCCTTTGACTTCGATATAATTCAACTGTCATGCAAAAATCATTGAATTTGGCTTTGAGTAGCACATTTCACATGAGTAAAAGTTCCCAATATTACAGGAACTGGTTTCAAATCTGGAATATATTAGTTAAATTTTTGTGCATTAACTACTAAGCTACCGCTACTTTTTACTTAATGAACCTATAAAGTGTTCATTCTTTGCTATACTTTGATTTAAAATTTGTAAATTTTTATTATTTTCTGGTATAATTGATAAAACTTTGTATATGAAGCAAAACAGAACGAGTAATTGCGATCAAGGTAGCATATCAACATCATGGGAACAGTTATTGGAAACACTAGTAACTGGATGGTAACAATTCATCAGATACTTGATGTCAACATTTTTCAGATCGTTTTCAAAGCATTTATATACAAGAAACTCATTTCCAGTCCAGAAAAATATAAAGGGACACAAACGTTAAAATAAAATAAATCGGATTGTGGACAAAAACATACACCGAAATCCACATAAGAATTGAATGCAGTAATTCATTTACACTACACATTCAATATCACAGAACACAAAATATCACGATTTGCTTGCCATCCTCGCCAAATTATTTGGTCAAATTAAATAGGCGAGAAGCTAATTGGAAATAAATCACTTCCTTATCAGTTTTTTTTTGCTTTTTATTATTTTATGTCGTTACTCGAACGATATAGAAAGATGACAAAGCCAAACAAAAGTTTCACAATGATAATCTTAAATGCTAAGGCAAATATATTAATGTGTTGCAACTCGCAGTTAAGATATTTTCTGTAAAAAGGATAATTATAAAATCCTTGAAACTTGAACATACCATGAAATAGAAACATTTTGATTGTCTGTACAGCCATTTCTCTTCCAACATAATAAAAGTACGAATTCTAATTTTCTATCCCTTAATAATTAGAACTTTCGTCTTTGGCGGAGCTATTTGCAAGGCAGCACAACCTCGAAAAGGTATTATTTTTTTAATAAATAAATCCTTAGGTCAAAAACTCACGATTACATGAACAAAATAAACTTTGTGTAACTATTTATCGGTAATGTTTTCTGCTTCAAGAAAAGTTTATGTCCAGCATTCTCAGAGAACAACAAAAGTCAAACTGGAGAAAAAAGTATATTTTGCTAGATTATGACAAACATCTTAATGTAAATAAATTATGCTCTCAGTGTTTGTAAGTGCAACTCATACCAGTTTCATGTTTAGGGGCGCAGTTTATGCTGAAACAAATTTGATCGAAATAGTAAGTAATAGTATAAAGAAACATTGCTGAACGCTTAATTTAACTTATGTTTTATTACTGTGTCTAAAATAAAACATGAAAGAAATACGTGATATTTGAATTATTTATCTCCGTTTAAGTAGTTTAAAACTACCAGTTTTTTAAAAGTGTATAAATTGTAGACTGTCACACTGATTTAAAAGAATCAACTGAAATATTTTTTGACTTAATTCAATAACCCATGTAAACATGACTTGTTAAAGTATTCTGGAAGGATCTGTATATTTTGAATTATTCAATCGACTAAGTTCTTAAAAAAGCAATCATCATGAATTAAAGAGCATTGAGCTAAACGTTATTACTTTAAACATAGCAAGAATAAGATGATTAACAGAATTATGTGTATTATTATTTGACTTGAAATCTGTTGTATTTCATATTAAATGATAAATGTTTCTTCATAAACAATTATAGTTCTAAATAATTCTATTTTTTTATATTGTTCAGTCTAAATGAACAGATGAATAACTCGAATAAAGAATATACTCAAAAATGCAACAACAAAAAATGATAATAAGACATAAATTGTTCATCTTATTTTCAACCAAAAAAAATAGTAGAAAAAAATAGACTTTATAAATAATATAAATAGAAAATTACTGAATCTGTCATAACATACAAGTGTATATCTACATTTAATACTGATAAATACAGAAGAAACCTATTCATTCATTTATATATCTGTCTGTTTTGTTCATTATATTTATTTATCTATCAATCAAATATGTTTATGTCATAATACTCAGTAATATAAATAGTTCTTATTATCGACTCAAAATAAGATGAAAAACAGAGAGAAACAAAGAATAGTAGTAGAAGTTGGTTATTAACAAAACTACTTGACATGAAAACAACTTATGTTTGTTAGGATAACATTATCAGTAAACTATTTACATATGATATTCATATGAATGAATCATTATCAAGAATGTACGAGTTATATTTAGACTCATAAAAAAAAATGTTATCATCATCACCAAATTTAATTGCACTACATATCACTAGTCAATAGAGTATTGTTTATAGTTCCTAGATGTACTTCAAATACCAGATGTCTGATAATAAACAGGAGATAGTCAGTAAGTTTTTGAGTTTATTACTCTCGATTCTGTTAGAAAAAATATTGCATACGCAGAACCTTTTTATGGCTCCGAATGCAGTCCATTCAGGGGAAGAGTAGTTTGAATGACTGGAAAAATATAGGTTTCATCTAGAAATTTGGCCCAAATTTTAACACAAAAACAAGAAGCTTCATCAAAATGTGATGAATTTCATGGAACTCAATGTGTAAACATGAAAGACAGCAATTTCAGCCAAGCATATATCTATTATCCCAATGAAAATGACTTACTCGAAATTTTCTTGATAGCTCAAACGAACAGAAGTATTAGAAATGGATTTAGTCAATTTCTTTCAATTGTTTTGTCGTACGTTTGCTTTAATCCATATCTAAAGTTTAACTTGTTTATGGAATTTTTCATTTTTTCACAAGTTGATCACTAATTTTTATTTCATTTTTGGAAATAATGAACATAACGTCTACTAGCAATATATCATATCTCAGTATTGATATAATCATATCCATCTTCATAATAATGTGTAAACATGTCCATGTTACAAATACATTTTTTCACAGATTCTACTCCAAATAATTAGTTACCTGAAATAAACTAAAATCTGCCACAGTCTAATTGTTAATTTATTTTTTGGTGAAGTAGCTCACTAAGAAACAATAAAAGAACGATAATAAGAAATAGGGACACAAAACGGGATTATTAATAACCGGATTTTATTCTTTTCATAAATAAAACAAAGTTAACATTTAAAAAATCTTGGCACCATAATTTTAGCAATGTAGATAACCCTATTAAATAGGTTACAGTTCTGCATGAAGATCAAAAATATTATTACTGGTACAATGATTCGATTTTACTATTTCTAGGCAAAGATATCTTCACTAACTATAAATATACACATATGCAGTAGTTGATCAGTTTGTCTCACAGTTTTATTTATTTGAAAATTCAAATATTGAGCATTGTTATGTATAAACCACTATAATAATAGAGTTTTCACAGATAACAATCCATGAACGAGAACATGCAAAAACCACACAATCGTATACCAAGAGCAATATAATGCCCTTATAAAGGAAAAGTAACTAAATGTACGAAAAACACTAGCAGAACGACCAGATGAAAACTGTAAACTTTTTATATGCACTAATAATCCATTTGAGCTCTAGTTCATAATTTGACGTTTTAAAATACCTCTTTAAGTGAAAAAAAGCTGGGGGTGAGTTTGTTATAAGTAAAAATTTCTAAATTATTATCGACATTTTTCAAGTGTAAGTTCATCCATCTTTGTCTTATTTCTAAGTTTAAAAAAATACGCAAAACAGTAGGAGTAATGCTATTTCACTTAAGAGGAAGAAAGAAAATAAACTAAACGATTAAAACGAAATCTTATTCACCTTCAAATTTGGGATTTTTAACTTCTATTTTCTCGCATTATTTTTATGTGACTGTTTTCATTCACTTTAAACAAGAGTAACAAAAATACTATCTATATCGCTCTATTTTTATATACTATACCCTATATCATCATGATATAGTACGACTTTGAATACTAAACACGTATTTTTCTTCCATGGGTGGTTTT